GAGAGAGAGAGAGAGAGAGAGAGAGAGAGAGAGAGAGAGAGAGAGAGAGAGAGAGATTACTGGTGTGTGTGTCGTATGTGCCAAGCCTTGTGTGATGAAGCAGGAAGTTTATGATATTGTGCGAAGCTGATTGAACCCCCAGAATGGACGAGTCAAGGGTCCATAGGGTGCAAAAAGGAAACAAAGAGAAAGCAGAAAATAAGTGCTTGCTCCTGCTAGATAAAGGAGGGCCTGGGATGGCAAAGTGCACGCTTTCATCGTTTTTTCCCACATTTAGCTGCGCACACTAATTGCTGATCACCTACAATCAGGTCCAACCATTCTCATGCACACACCGCTTACAAAATCCAGAAAAACATTTAGCTGTGCCTCAGGCGCAACGACGGCGCCTAGAAGGCGACTGTAATCGCTGAAGGAGGCCATAGAACTTCTGAGGTTTTGAGCAGCAACACGGCAGGCTCAGGGGCTACTCACTCTGGTTCTATCTTGGGCGTATCCAACTGCATTGAAGGCCAACCGTGGAGGCACCTGACCGCAATCACGTCCATAAACATTAAAGTCCGTGGAAGTTTGTTCTCAGCCACTCACATCCAACAACAATCCTAGGCCGCTATATCCATTTTTATGCCCTTCGTTCGTTTCTCCGATGTGCCCAGTACCTGGAAAACCAATACTCTCGGACAGAGTTCAAATGTCAAACAAGAACTAACGTTGTACACAAAATGTTGGTCAAAATGGACATGCATCCTGTTGTGCCTGGAGGCTCACAAGAGCGTTTTCCTTCGGCGCTAGCTTCTTCCGAGTCTAGAGAGTACGTTTTCCCGAAGCTAGCGCCGAAGGAAAACGCTTTGGCGGCCGGCCGGCGGAGATGCCCGAATTGCTGCACTTTGTGCCTGGAGGCTCACAAGAGCGTAAACAAGATAGTACACCGCCGGCCAAATCCAACCATCCCAGCTCTTATCTAGAAAAATTGACGATGGCCCGGTGGGATTGAATCCACCTCCCCACTTCACGCATCCGGAAGCCCACAGAAAGTCACCATACGAAGCGTCAAGATGACCAAAACTGAGCGATGGAAACCTTTCAGAAAAGGAGCTCAGAAAACGAAGTGGAGAGAAAAAGAGTGCAGCGGCCGTTCTCCACATCGGAAGGGCAGCAAGAGGCCACAAAATGACAAGAAAGAACTTCAAGACCCGCACAAATCCAGATTGACGAATGTGGTTGACGGGTCTCCTGAATTTTCCTTCCGACCCCCCCCCCCCCCCCCCCCCCACACACACACACACACACACAAAAGGCGCTGAGGTAGCAAGCGGGCACCCAACACACTACTACGCGAGGGCACTCACTTCATCGTAGCTTTGCCTGGCCAGTATGCAACATGCCTCACTTTCGCACACACTGAACATCACTGGTAGCTGCCAGATTGTGCTCATCAATCCATCTGCTGCTACACAATCGCCTTCACGTGCGCACAGTTTGGCCGGAACAGAAAAACTAACAAGCGCTAGCTCCTAAGTCTTCCCCCTCCCCAACCTGGTGTCTCCACATGGCACCCCAAGCTCAATGTGCAGAGGACCATAATGCGTACCTGTGTACGAGCACTACTCTTTGTGAATAACAAAAAACATGCACATCAACATAAAGTTGCGAGTCCAACCTATGAGCACTTGTCTACCAAGCTCCGGACGTTAATGCAGTCAGATTCAACCGCATTTGGCCTCAAAGTGCATTCAGATACATTTAGGAAAGTGCTTGTGCGAGTCCGACCTAACATACAGGACTCGTGGCTGTTCGCCGAGTGGACTACACACACATGCAACTGCTCACAACACCTCATACAATCACCCTGACGAGGACAACAGAATACGCGGAGGCCTAACTCAGTTGTTAGAGCACACGAGTGACATTAACGAGGTCGTGGGTTCGGTTCCCGACGTCGTCCATTGACGCTCTGGGTTCACCAGCCGAGATTAGCTGCCTTGCCCCCCCATAGCTAGCTGGTCTTGAAGGGTAGCTGTGCCTTCCATCCCCCGCCAGGGGTTGGATCAAAAATGAAAAAGAAGCTTGCATTAGATGCTGGAGGTCCGATCAATCGCAGCTGGGTAGTGAAGGAATACTTGAGAGAAGAATGCAGCATCCGCGACCAAAGACCAAAGATACAAGGAACTAGCCGACCGGAGGTCAGCGTTTTACTTTCTAAGAAATGACAATACACATCTCACCACCCTCCTAACCTACAAACTACACAGCGAGCACAGAACCCTAAACAAGGGATAGTTATCATCAAGGGGTAGTCTTCAACACTCAGTACTACTTTCAAGGGGTTTCATTCTCGCCACATGCAGCGCCACATGCAGCGCTCAACACAAGACGTTAACAATATGGACCTCGAGACTCTGCACAACACTGCATGCATTTGGACGCCATCTGGACCAGGTGCATTCAGATGCCTCCTACATTTTAAACGTATCAACGTAGTGCACGAAAAACAGCAGACATCGCTGGTGGGCGCAGATGAAACAATTATTGAATCATCCCTCACAAAACACAAACAAAAAAGACGTCTCTGGCATAATCCAGCCCTGCACAAGTCACAACCACCTCCCTCAAACACAATCCTCACCGCTCAAAAATACAATCTACATTCTAGAGATCCAGTCACCTTGGATTTTCTTAAACCAAACAAAGAGAGATTACACATGATCATTCATGACAATGAAGTCGTACAAATAAAGCCTTGGCATTCCGGCTGACGTCCTCCGCGTCTTTTTTTGCCAATAAAAACAAAGATTAAGCGACGTGCTGTGTCTTTTCCACAAGGGTAGGTTAACTGGAGAAGACATCGAGAAAGAGCAAATGCCGTTCATGCATGTATTACACAACAGAAAAGAAATGACATCCTACCATGTATCGTCAAACAGAGCTGCCATGTAAACAGTAGGCAGAGAGGGAGAGGGAGAAGATCTTCACGTAGAAAGCCATCTCAGTCATTGCAACGTTTATCCCCTTGGTGCAATCTTAAGCACAGCAAAACAAAATACTTGGCCGGCGGTAGCAAAACAAAACGAAATGAAATGCATTAAATCAGGCACAAAACAAAAAAGCAAAAACGAACGTGTGCAAACACTAGGGAGTTCTCTGTTTAGATTAGCGCTCAAAAGATCAGCAGAAACATTTCTCCTCAACACTGCACATCAACAACAACCAAAGCTAAAGCAGAGGAATCATACGCGGGATTTGTTTTTCAGTCCCCTGTTTTTTCCCCCATCTTCCTGTGGATTCGGCCTATTACAGCAAAACATTGCGGTCAGCTCCCCTGCTCCCTTGTCATCAGAACAGCAACCGATCTGGTGGACTCCGAATCCCAACACCACCAATAGAACGAGCAGAACTGTACCTCGATTGGTGCGGAGAAGTCCTGAGAATCGACACCGCTTCGCGTCCAGAGCTTATAGCTAACTATATGCACAGCGGTATGTATGCAGGTCTAAATATAACGCCGCCTCTCGTCCAGAGCTCACAGCTAATTATATCCACAGTGACAGCGGTATGTATGCAGGTCTAAAAATAACGCCATGAATTACAGTTCGATTCCATTTTCGATTACAGTTCAACAAAACGCCCAACTTACCGCACGCTCCAGCGAGTCCCAAGATTCGGAGCTCTTCAAGAAAGAAAAGTCATAATGTCTCAAGGCAAACACGTTATAGCCGATCTCGTTGCACTCAGAAGACAAATACCCAGATGCCAATCTCCGATTGCAGTCTGAAGAAAGATAGCGACATGGCAATCTCGTTGTGCGGTCAGAAAAGACATACCCACCCGTCTGCTGTTACACTGATTCCAAACCCAAATGGGCGCTCTCCTTACGGACCGGTCTTGTCATCAGCACTCCAGGTACCCAGTTGCTTCATCCACCAGTTGAAGAACAGTGGCTGAAATTTAACACACTCCCAATCGGTGAAAGTTACACTCCCATTCTACAACCGGCAGCACAGTCCCATTCATGCGAATCACACGCAAACCCGTCGTCTATCTGGTCCCGTTGCGAAACTTGTACATCCTTCCAACTCCACTGCTGAGTACAGTAACCACACTAGAAAAGCAAACAGTGTCGCTAGCACCTGCAGAAATGATCTCTTTCTGAGAACACACTAGAAGGCAAAGATACGTTTCATGCTCAGACCAGTTCAAATCTCACCTGAGAGAATTGTCAGTGCTCTTCTGCCATCAACCTGTTGCTCGACGGCGTCCACGCCCATCACCCTTCGTTGTCCATTCTCCCCAAGCCAAAGCCTTCAAAGCCATCTCCAGGCAAAACACTCAAATGCACCTTTCCTATTCCGGCAGCTTGAAAACAGCTGCCACTCTCCACTGCCTTCGATGTGATGCAATGCGATGTGGATTGGACGAAGCCCCCCCTCGATGCGATGCGATGGATTGGACGAAGCCCATCTTCCGTATCATCCACTGAAGAAAGTCTCAAAAGGGAGGGGCTGCCAGTTTCTTGGCCTACAGAGCAGGAGATAAGGGGACTGGAGAGAAGAGGGGAGAGCAAGTTCGCCTTGTGCTCTTATCCTTCTTTATACAATGTGCGTACTACTCCTCGACAAGTCCCTCCTCCCATCTTTTTCCTATACAATGTACGTACTACTACTCGACAAGTCCCTCCTCCCATCTTTTTCCTGCAATCGTTTCTCCACCTGACACGACCAGAAGCAGGTCATCCCCTTCGCCGTAACACCATACAACTGTCGAACCCATCGCGCTCACAGGCACCATGACGCAGCTTTTCCATGCCATTCCCCATCTGCAATTTGCATCCAATCAGATAACCACCCTTCTGAGACGGACACGATTCGAGCTTCACCCACCTACTCCATCTAGTACCTGCGATTTGCTGCTCCCATCCTTGCATCATACCGATAGGAGTTGCTTGCAAATGCCCCACCGTATGTCACCGGGCCGCCAACCGGTTGTGTGAACATCGGTGCCAACTGGCCTCTGAAGCCATAAGATTGTGGCAAGGTCCCACCACCTGCCGGCTGAACTCCATTCCTGCAAACGCGGAAAACACAGAAGCAGGTGCCGGGGACGACAGGGTTATTACGAAAGCAAACGTAATGCGGAAGAAGGATATCAAGAGCCTCAGGCGCAGCGCGGATTTCCAGATTTTCTGAGGGCAAACAGAAAGACGATAACGAAAGCCCCAGTGGCAATGCCTACCGCCTGCACCTAGCTAGGCATGCTACACCCACCTCTGCCTGTCTCACCCAGCCAAGGCTAAAGGCATAGTAATGCCTGAAAGGTGGCCAATCTCTCAGTCCGATGTGATGTGCGGAAACCACCTTCGTCTTCGAATTTTATTACGTTATTATGTTTCAGCTTAGGGTGCCCGAACTGTATGGACAGGGTTCAAAGCTTGGCCCGCTGCACAGTTTATTTCCCCCGCCTTCAGCGAGGGATTTCAAAGAGCCCGTCGTCAGCCAAGAGTTCTTTTTGCATACCATTCAACAGGCATCAACTTTTTCCAACTCCCATTTTATGCTGGGCTGCCCAACACCTCGCCCTGCCCTGCACCGGTCACCCCATACAAGCACCTGAGATGGCAACCCAAAGATACCTTCACCCTCCCCTCCCTATCCTAGCAGAGGATACATGAAAACTGCACAACGGAGAAGAACAAAAACGAGAAGAACAATTTTAACAGATGTCCCAAAGGACATCTGCTAAATCGAGAAATGTTCCAAATTCACAACAAAAGCAAAAAGAGAACAACAGAAACAAAAATGACGACCCACAAGATCATAGCAGACATCAGCACATTCAAGACACAGGGCGAATGGATATGCATCATGAATTTGCATCACAAAATCGCAAAAAGCTCCAGGGTCGACATCAACACATCTAAGATGGTATGATCACTGAAACCAGCATACCTACAGCTCTCTCTCTCTCTCTCTCTCTCTGGTTGGAGAGATTATTTTTGGAGGTGAAACTATGCGTTTCTGGGATTTAAGAGCGCCAATCGCTATCTGTGTAGCTATGCATATATTCTCTCTCTCTCTCTCTCTCT